TTGTAGGAAAGTTATATCTATAAATACAATAAGGAAAACAAAATAAATAGTTTAATAATTTCTATTGAATACCTGGGTTCAGCTTTGGCCTTACAGTGTCTTCATGCTGCATGCTTTGTAACAAAAAATACCTTCATTCACAAAGGCAAGAAGAGGCAACTATTGGAAGTCTTCCTTTCTCTATTCACACCTGAGCTGTGGATTTCTGCAAGCCCTTGAGAGTAACTTTTTTTTATCTGTCCTGGCTGCTTCATCTCAGCATGCCATCAAATGCTCTAAGACTGGATGACCAAATGTTTTGGGTTATCCACTGACATTTTATTAGCCCAGATGAGGCTGTCTAGCAGTTTTGGCTTTTGAATTGATGAATGAGCTGCTGCTGCAGGCCAGTGGGACACCCCATCTGTTTAAAAACACACCTTTTTCTCCTTGGCTTTTATCAGCGTGAGTCATCTGTGTCTTAATCTCTTAGTCTTCTGAGTATCTGTACTTTTTACTAATTTCCATTATAGCTCTGTTCTTCTTATTCTTACTTTTTTTTTGTTCAGTACTTAAGTCAGCTATTAAGTTGTTCTAAATGTGTTTGATAAATAAAGTGGGTATAGTCTGTCACTGTAGTTTAGGTTTGCATTTGCAGCAAGTGCTCTCAATTTGTGCTCTGTTAGATGTTTAAAGCTTGCCGTAATCTTTACTCACCAAATGCCGGCTCACTAACAAACCTTCATGGAGGAGTTTTTTCATACTGAAATTGCATTGCAAACAGTTATTGGGCCTATTAATTGTTTACACTTTAAGTTTTTTTTCCCATTGATATCAAAATGAGGAGTAGCTGAATAAACCTGGGCTTCACAGTTATGCGCTGGAAAGAAATGTTATCTTATAGTGGGTTTGGATCCTATCCTGACTCTTTCTGCATGAAGTCATGCATGGCTTCTCTCCAGGTACTCCGGTTTCCTCCTAAGGCTGTTAGGTTAATTGGTCTGCTAAGTTAGGCTTGATTATGAGCGTGTGTAGGCAGGGTTTTTTTGTGATGCTGTGATGTCCTGGGAGGCTGTTCATAGATGTTCCTTTTTTTTCTATTCAGTGAAAAGGTGTGGCTATGTCTCGCAATGTTTTTTCCTCCCTTATCTAAAGTTTGTTCATGGTTTAAATCAAAATGAAACACCTCTTTGGATGATGAAGGTTATTTAACTCTCTTCAAATTGAACAGTTCTCATATACATGACATATTATTAATATTAGATTTGAATGCATTCAGCTGATAAGGCTAGATGGTTTTATTTCTCATATTTGTGTCTAATGCAGTATAAACAATATCACTCATGCCCACCTTGGTCAGTTGCTGGATGTCTAGACATGACGGCAGAAGCGGAGGTGCGATCCGGGCTGCCTCTGAGCAGCTGGTGAGACAAAAGATCTGGAGGAACCAGAGGTCTGGAAGGACGTGGTGGTCTCATGTCTCCTGGTTCACTGAAAGAGTGAACCCTTCACAAAGGTCATATACTGAATTGTACATTATCTTTCAATTACTGTTCCATAAAACACATTATATATATATATACAAAAAAACTTCTCTTACCTTGGAGCCTTAAGAGACCCCATCTTTTTGTTCAGTTCAGCAATGATGTTAAGGAGGGTGCCCACTTCTGCTTCACACTGAGCCACCTCTGCTGGGGTGGGCTCATGGCCAATCAGAGGCTCAGAGACTTCAGGGTCAAAGCTTACAAAGGCGCCATGGTTCAACACCGACTTGTCAAAGAAGGAGCCGGTATCAAGGCTGTTACATCTGCTTCTTCTCGAATCCTGCAGTATCACAGATAGAAAATCTCAAATACTGCCATAGTGTTTTAAGTGTTTATCCTTTAAATATTAATCAACTCCCCCCATAGTTAAAGCAGTAAGCTACTAGGGCTAAATGTAAAAGATTTTTGCATGATTTTAATTTAAATTCTGTTATGAACCTGACATCAGACTGTTTAGCTATTGTTCAAAACGGAAAAGGAGGAAACCAAAAACATCCTGAGATCCAACTTCCTGCCCAGCAAATATTTGTAGATTCCACCATCCATTGTTTTCACAAACGATTTTATACGAACACCCTTAATATAGCTCTTCATTTTTTAACAGAATGTACTGAATTTTGCTTTTAAAGTACAATTAAAAAATAAAAAAGAAATGCACATGGCTTAAATTCCTTTTTATTGTTATGCAGGGCAGTGAAGACAAAATGCTTAAAATTCCTGATTCTTGACTTTCAAGAATTCCTCATCAATGTCAGAGACTGTGACAGCATCTAATGGATGTTTTATTTAGTGGTGTAGTTCTCTAGCTATATTTACATAAACTTGTCAGTTCCACAACAGTTATTTCTCAAGATTCCTGCTAAGAATTTACATTTTATTATTAATTTACAGAAGGTTATAAGTGAGACTGATAACCTCATTGAGTGATCGTAACTCTACTCTACGTAGAACAACAAGGAAAAAAATGATCAAGCATGTATTTTGTTTACATTACGTATTGACAGTTATACATAAAACATTGAAAACCAAACAAACATTTCACCATAACTTACCTCCATGCTTCTTGTTTTTTATGGCTGCAGTTTATAACAGACCAAAAACATTTGACATTTGATATTTTCTTTAGTCCATTTTTGTGCTGTAATGGCCCAGAGGCTCAGTCCCTGAGTGAAGGCAGTAGGTTGCTCTCTTGCTGCATGTCTGTCCAGCACTGTGATGAATGAAGTCAGTGAAAAACACTCAGAGAGACATCCACACCCATTCCCCTTCACTTTGTGTCCTTTCCTGTTTTGGCCACAGTTAGTTTCCATGTTCACTGCGGCCAGCAGAGTCAGCTCGTGTTTGGGTATTTAAAATGCATAAAGCTAAAGATTAAGATTAACAATTTGGAGCCTCAGGTTGCAGACTGCTGCCTGGGGTTAGATGGTTTTTATTCTCTACAAAAAATCTTTATATCTTCATACAGGATACAAATACACTCTCCCCCCCACTGCTCAATTATATGCTAAACTATGTTTCTCTTTTAAAACATGCACTGAAGGGTGTGGTTTTTAGTGTAGCAAAATTTGACCTAGTTCAAAAGGTGTAGATTCTTCAAGCCTTTTTAAGTTAGACTGTTTGAGAAGGTTTAAGGTAGAATAAATATTTACTGAGGTTCAGTCTTCAAGCCCGTCAAAGGGTTACAAATGACCATAACTGTTAAAATGAAGACCATTATGGAACCTGTCATTGCCCCTCAATAAAGGAGATTTATATTTTCAAACCTGTTGCCAGGGTGATTTACAGCACACACTGTTTGGCTCTGATAAAGATGTATCAGACATTTTTTTATTTGAATTTTTAGCAATTTAACGTTCAGCACTTTTACAGTTTTTTGAAAGTTTGATTAAGATCATAGGTGCATAAGTACAAGAACCTGCTTCTCCCCTTTCTTAGTGGAACCCTGATTGGTGATCCGGCATTCTGGATCAGCTGGCTGATCCACTTCACAAGCTGACCTGTGAAGACATCGCTGCAGTAATCAATTCTACAAAAGATGAATGAAGAAGGAATTAGTTTATCAGGGTGCTGTTGAGTCCTCTAGTCCTACACAAGTGATATAATGTCTTTATGAGCCACCGAAGGTTCGGGTCTGAGTCATCATTACACCCTGATTGGTGGTTTCTAGTTATCTGTACTGACCTGTGTGCTAACTTTTAAAGGATCTTCCTTTGTTTGAAAACTATTATTTCAGTTTTGTTTTGATTTAGCTGAAGATAATTTTGTTTCATCCATGCATTGATTTCTTCTATGCATTTACCCAGAGCTGGAATGTGTTCATTGTCACCTACAGAAATAGTAATGTACAGCTGTGGGTTGTATAGTTATGGTTATGGCATAGTTATGGGTACTGATGTTTATTATGGTCTGATCTAGGGGGGACATGTAGCTACTGAATAAGAGGAGCTCTAAGATAGACCCTTGTGGAAGGCCACATGTGATTTCTGTGGTCTGTAATGTAAACTTACCTACGGACACAAAAAAGGTCCTGTACTTCAAGTATGATTTAAACCAGTCCAGGGCTCCAGTCTTTCAAAGCACTCTAATCAAATGAAATGATCAACAGCGTTTAAAAATAGATCCACTTAGTCTCGTTGATCTGAGACCCCCAACTCTATTCAGTTCAAAAGAAAATCCTTCAATACTTCAGATTTCGTTCTTGGCCACGTCATCTATGGCTCCAATGTTTACAACAACAGCATTTTATCTGACCATTCTGATTTATTTGTTTGCCAAGATCTTCCAGTGAGTCATCTTTAATCTTTTGGTTTTGCCCCTAAAACATGTCATTAACTATCAGTTTTTTGTTCGATGGCTGAGTCGTTGAGCCGTCTGTTGCTTTGTGGGATCACAGTCTTAGACTTAGACAGATTTTATTTGTCATTTTGTTACACAAGTGTAAAACAAAAATAAATTTCGTTTGGAAACAGCTCACTGGACAATTTCATCTTTTAAAAGTGCAGCCTTGAAAAATAGTAAGAAGGACTGTAATTTTACAGTTCTAACAGTTTTTTTAAAATATATATATATACATAACGATAAAACATATATATATATATATATATATATATATATATATATATATATATATATATATATATATATATATATATATATATATATATATATAAAATGATAAAATCAAAAAAATATAATAAAATACAATACAATAACCCATCTCTACAAAACATTTAGCAGTCAAATAGTGGGGAAGAAACTGTTGTCAGTCAGAGCTGAATAATCATTGTGTCCCATATTAACGGACAAATTCTGTTGTTAATCTTCAGATAAAATCACATCCAGTGATCTATTATTGTTGTAAATCAGATTGACCGCCACTTTCCATTCTAGTAGATGGATTTTAATTTCCAGAAAACCGATTTTATGTCAAACAAGAATAACGTCTTAAGACTTCATTACCCATAATGCTGCGAAGACCGGAAGTTCCGGCTGTACCATTTCCGCAAAAGAAGTTGCCAAATCAAAACAAACGTTAGCTTGTTCTATGAATATATAGCACCATAAATGACTCTTTCTCTTTAATAAATCAGAGAGGTTTCGTACTTATTCATAACGTAAGTATTCTGTTATTATTTTCTATCATTTTCTTAATACCGATTTGGTTGTTTTTGTGTAAGAGCTAACTGATGCTAACAGCTAAACCTGTTATCATGTCAGATTCATCCTGTTCAAACTGCCTTTTAGGTACAAACCGATTTTTAACACCTAAAACCTCTGTGAGTATTTTAGGATAAAGCTGGTTACAGGTTCACTCAAGAAAAACAACTGCAGGTGTAGTTAAACCTCTGTCTGCATTGAGGAAACTGTGCTGTGAATGGCTAATAAAAGCTAAACTTCTATATATTAGATTTTATATTTATAGAAAGAGATTGCACATCTCGAAAAATTAAAGTTTTATTTTAAAGGGGGTTTATTTCTATATTACCATTTAGATATTGAAATCTACATATGATTAGGATACATTTCACCTAAAGTGATGTTTTAACTGTTCATTTCTGTCAGTTTTGGGTTTGCAGCTATGAGGATCTCAGCAAACCCTCAATTTCTTTAGTCCTGTGAGGGAAAAACAAAACATTTTTGATACAGATATTTTTCATTATCACCCATGAGAGGACATCTGATCTGATGGGTTTTCACAAAATAGTCATTACCAACCATCAACTATTATAGTGTGCATTAAATGGTCATTGTTAAATATCCTGGTCGTTAACTCTCTGATGTGTCCAAGGATTTTAGCTGAGTAAAAAGTGTGAACTAAAACAGCTGATTTCATCTAAAGTTTTCTCAGAAATCTTCGAAATTAAGTCATTTTAAAATCGCCTCAACTCCACCTGTTTGTTTATAAATCTTAGAAGGATTTGGTGTTAAGAAAAAGGAGATCCAAATGTTTCCTGTACAACTTTGCACGTCTTCCAAGGTAAATGGAAAAGGACAGATCTTGTGTGGTGAAGACTCCAGTAACACTTGAAATAGTGAGGAAATGTTTTCCCATAATTTCTTTTCCCTGTATTTCTGGAGTCATTAACATTTAGAATATAGCTGTGCATGATAACACAACATGTTATGTTGACACTGGACATGGAATCTATCTTTAACGTCTATCCATAGGATTCATTTCAAATGCATTAGTAGAGGATGTATTTAATGTTGTCATTATGCTGTTGGCTCAACAAGTTATTCACATGTAATTGTAAAGTTTACTCCTGTCATCAAAAATATTTATAAGTCTTCTTCAAAATTTAAAATCTTGTGTCTGGCTGCTCGTAAATCATATGTCACATGTCATTACTTTATCCCTCCTTCAGCCCTAAATGCCAGCTTGCCCCTATACAAGTCATTGTGGGCTGAGACTACCTTGATTGACAAGTCAGAGGTGTAACACAGCAAGGCTAACTTCAACATCCTTTGGTGCATGTATTCTTTCACAACATACATGACGATGTCAATTAGCCCCCCTATTCCGGCCTTGAGGTTTATCCTAAAAATAGTTAAGGCTACAAAAACAGCAGAGATAATAGCACCTGGGTCCTGTGGAGTTGAAGCGATTCATAAAAAAGATTAATAGAATTAAAGAGGATAACTACAGCCAAGGGTGAATCATCTTGATAAAGACCTCTGTAGGAGTTGGTGCTCAAACATCAGTTGAAAACATATCCAGAATAGCAGCTGCATATCCTGCAGCTCCTGCATTCATTGTTTTAGGATCACTAAGCCAGAAAAGGTTGTACACTTTTACAAATTGGTCAACTTTTCAGATAAAATAAAAAAATGTTTTCGTTTGGAAATTAAGACCCATGATGTAGAGGACGAAGCGAGAGATCCAAATAATAAGTCTTATGAAAAGTTTTCAGTCAGTGATGATTTGGGAGGTTATGACACTCCTGGTGATGGTTTTCTGTGTTTTATCAAGTCCATAGCCAGCTCCGTCTACCTGGAAGATTTAAAGCACCCCATGCTCTATGGAGATAATGATTTTATGTTCCAGCAAGACTTGACACCTGCTCACACTGCTAAATCCACCAATTCCCAGTGGATTAATTTGGTGGTGGTGTGCTTGATCCTTTACACCTAGGGTAGTGGTGGCCTAGTGGTTAGGGCATAGGGCTTGAAACTCCTGAGGTCCTGAGTTCGAATCCCATTTCCACAGACTGCCACTCTGGGTCCCTGAGCAAGACCCTTAACCCCTCTCTGCTCCCGGGGTGCCGCACAATTGCAGCCCAATGCTCCCCAATGCTCCCCAAGGGGATGGGTTAAATGCAGAGGTAAATTTCTCCAATGTGAGATCAATAAAGTTCAATTATTATTCTCATTATTATTATTACCAGAACTACAGGCGGAAGGACATCAGGTTTAAAAACTAATGACTGTTTCAGACAAAACAGTGAAATGAATGCAAATTTATCATACACACATTATCATTCATGATATATATAATTGTTATAAGGATAATTTATTTCTTATATCGGAAAAGGTTTATGAAGAATTGACCAAAAATCATCAAAACTAAACAAAAACTAAAAATGTAATATTATAAAAATTAAATATTTTAAATCTGACCTGTTAAATAATATTTCTTGGATAATTATGCTCTTCTGTCATATTTTAATAACAAGAATATATAAAAAAAATATACTGTTCTTATCTTTACTTACTCATCGTACAGCTTGTACTATCCATGGAGACTCCAGAGCCAGGCCCAGCTGATGGAGAGGAGCGTCCAGTAGAGCTGCGACCCCGCACGCGCTCCAACCCTGAAGGTGCTGAGGACCGTCGCAGCAGCACAGGTAGCCTTGGAGGCAACGGAAACCAGAACATATCTCAGCCTGCTGTGGGGAATCGTGTGGAAGGCGAAGGCGAAGCCTCGACCAGCGACAGCCCTCCAAGCTCCGTCACCACAACAGTTTCAGCAACTACATCTCAGGCTGTAGTTCCACCTCCAGCTGTTACTGCTGCTGCTGGAGCTGGAGCTGGAGCCAGCAACACCGTACAACTGTCCACTGCTGCTGTCACAGCTAAAGAAAGGCCAAAGACTTCACAGCCCATGCTTAGTACATCTATTTCTCCACCAGCAGAGTACCAGCTCAGAGTTCCCAGGGTTAACTGTCCAGAGAAAGTGGTAGGTCCACATAACTTAGAAATACTGTTCTTATTAATGAAGTAAGAAACAAATAGACTCTCTCTGGGGTTAGGGGTAAGGTGTCTATTGAAAATTTAGTGTTTTTTACCTGGATTTACCATTGTTGTTATGAAACTATAACATAATTTTACAGAGATTCCCAGCTTAAAATGTACAAATAATACACAGACAAAAAAAATGTTATAGAAAATATAAAACGCCCTTTGAAGGCATCTTTAGAATATTTAATACAACTATAAATGGATACGTCAAATAAGCTTAATACCAAACTCTAAATTTTGTCCACCAGGGGCACTTGACCTGTAACTAAGGTTCTTTTCCCCTTAAGGGCACAGGCAGTTTCCCTCTGTGTTTGGGAATCAGGCCACATTAGACCAGCAAATTGAGAAATTGGAGTTACTTGTAAAGAAAAGACCACATTCAGCCATCAGTGAACCAAGTATATGATCAGTTAAGACTCATATCTCTTTTGTAGCCTATCAACAAATTTTAGCTTAGCTAACTCTTGTGTTTAAAGGGAACTCAGACTGCCATAAAGCAGCGTTCTGGGTCTTTGCTCATTCAGTCGCGGATCTGACCCACTCAAGTTATGTAGGTGAGTTTTTGAGAGTGCCAGCCCACAGGGCTGAAAAATTATTTGATACATCTCAAATTTAGCTAAAATTTGAATCAAAGGTTACGCTATGTTGCTTTAAGCTAAGCTCAATTGTAGAAAATCATCTGCAGTGGCCTTTAAAAGGATCAGGACACCAGGAGTCTGAAACCTGTAGCTCCAGAGTCCAATGAGGCTCCTTAGACCTTTCACTGTGTCTCCTAATAACTGAAGTGTGCAATATTTTAAAATGTAAAGGTCGTCAAAAGTGCTACAAAAATACGAGGTTATTTTTCAGACAGCTTAATTTTCTTGCAAAGTTCAAAAGAAAATGGTTCCCATTTGAAAGCTGCTAATTTATACAAGAATTTTAGAAAGAGAAAAGCACCAAGGTTCATTGGAGGTTTCATTTAAGGTGTTATTTAAAATATATTGACAAGAGTATATATTTTTTCTAGTCTTTTCACCCTCTTACCTTGCTTCCCTCTACAGATAATCTGCTTGGATCTTTCTGAAGAAATGTCCTTACCAAAGCTTGAATCTTTTAACGGGTGTGTAACAACGCAGTAGCTCTCCACTATTTCCTTGACATTGTTCTAACATGTAATCCTTTCATCATTTGACTGCCTTTCTGTGTAGATCTAAAACAAACGCCTTGAACATTTCCCAGAAGATGATTGAGATGTTTGTAAGAACAAAGCATAAAATCGACAAGCGGCATGAGTTTGCCCTGGTTGTCATCAACGATGATGCTCTGTGGGTGGGTAACACAAGCTTAGTTATTGTTTCCTAAAAAGTTATTAATAACTTTACTGTTTATGTTATGTTTTTAAGATAGACATAAAGAATGGAAACCACTGAATATTTGCAAATAAATAGATTTTTTCTGACCTATACTTATTAAGAAAAGGGTAAAATCAGACAAAAGCTTCTACATGTTTTCTTTTTATGTATTTGTTTTTGTTTTATGAACATGATCATCATTCTTATCATATGTTTTATGTTATCATATGTTTTCCTACAGTTGTCTGGCTTCACATCTGATCCCCGCGAGCTGTGCAGCTGTCTGTATGACTTGGAAACCAATGTGTGCGAGTCCTTCAGTATCCTTTCATCATATAATAAACAGCAAAAATCCTCTACATAATAAAATCAGATCAGCCTTAACTTCTATATTTAGACCTGGAAGATCTCCTTAATGTCATGTAAGTAGTGTTTTGGTTTTTCTGAGTAACTCAAATGAACATTAAGCACAACTTAAAACAATGTAGAAATGTTCTGCAATGTAAAATCCTGCTCTTATGCCTTTTGAAGTCGTCAGAAGATTGAGCTGCCATTGATGGAGAACGTTCAGACCATCCCTCCTCCATACGTGGTGCGGACTGTGCTTATCTATAGCCGCCATGCTGGGCCAATGCAGTTCAACCCTTCAGAGGCTGTTAGTGTGAGTTCATAACTACTCAGTCTTTGTTGGAGTTAGCACACATATCTTTTTTTAATCCAACTATCAAGTCTACCCCTTAAAAACACTGTATTTCAGTCAACCATTGTAGTAATTGTCTTATTTGGATTTTCTTTTGTAATTTAGAAGATGCTGCAGTCTCCGTATTTCTTCTTTGATGTGGTTTATTTGCACAATGGGATGGAGGAGCAAGGGGACGAGACCAGCTGGAGGGTAAGTGCGCTTTATACGGGGATGCATGCATGGGTGGGTGGATGGATGGATGCATGCATGGGTGGGTGGATGGATGGATGGATTGATTTTGTTAAATAATGGTATTTATTCAACAATGAATTAATTAAAATAATGGTAAATGTTTTTCCTATTACTTATCATATGAATAATTATCTCATGTTCATACTGGTTTCCAAGCTCTTCCTGTCTGTTGTCCCTCTTTGCATTGAAATTTTTTGCTCGTTTTGACACTTAATTTTGACTTTTCTCTTTCCTTGATCACTTCATCTGGACATTTCTGCTTTGTTCAGGTTCATTACTTCCAGTAGACATAATATATGTATGTGGCCCCTAACTGTTTACTTATTGCCCACATGTCCAATATGCCTCCGGTCATGTGGTCTAGTTATGGTAAACAAAGTCAAAGACTATGTATACTAGCAAAAGCAAAGTGTACACAATAGGGATGGAACGGTTTATGAAAACCGTCCGAACCGTTCGGTTCGACTGTCTCGGTTCGCGTGTGTTGCGTTCGGTTCATGCGCTGCTCCTTTTTCTCATAGGCGAAGCGTTTACACTCCAGAGCAGATGGTGGCGGTACTGCGACCAAAGCCAACCACCAGTAGTAAACAAGAAGAAGAAGAAGCGAAGCAGCGTAGCCGGGTGTAGCAGAAAAAAAATCAGTTGTTGTGGAGAATTGTGTGGGTATGGCGAGTGGGAAAGAACAGGAGTTGGAAGACGCACCAGCAGCACTTTATAGGTCTGCTGTATGGGACCGCTTTGCATTTAGAGTGACCTACGATGACGGCGGAAAGAAAGTTGTGGATAAAAGTGCAACACTGTGCAAGCATTGTACAACACGTTTTGTTTATGCTAACAGCAACACGACCAACGTGTCATGCTAACCCCAAAATCCCACATAGTCCATTAGCGCTCCGCCCCGCTGCGCTCCAGACCGCCTGCACAAAGCAAAGCCTACAGCCCCCACTGTGGCTCCCGTCTGCTCCGCTCTGAGTTCCTTGGAGATGGTAGAGGGTATGCGCAAGATGATTAAATTCAAAGCAGCAAAACATACGGAAATGATCCAGGGTTTCCGCGAATCATTAAAAATAATTACAATTTATACATTTTTTTTGGATGTTTTCATTAATTTCATTAAGAAAATGCATTAATTTTTATAATTTTTATTAATTTTTTTAATTTTTCGGTGTAACAATCAACATATACCGAACCGAACCGAAAACCATGACTACGAAACCGTGAACCGAACCGAACCGTGGATTTTGTGAACCGTTCCACCCCTAGTACACAAAGCTCTTATAATAATAATAATAATAAGCCAACAGGGAGCGATAATTTTATCAGTAATATGTAACCATAGTGAGCTACTGACATAGAAATGTCTAACGTCGTAGTACTTGACGACACCTCTTTAAAAGGGCTGCTTTTAAGTTTTTTCCTCTGCATTTACTTATCCTCACTTGGGTTTTCCAGGAAAACTACACATCCTTCTGTAATCTGGACTCAAAAGCCATGTGTTATCGCTTCGAGGTCTCCTTGAGTGGACCCGCCATCGAGCTGCACAACTGCATGGCCAAGCTGCTGGCCCATCCTCTGCAGAGACCTTTCCAGAGTCATGCGTCTTACAGCCTATTGGAGGGCGACGACGCCCCGGACACAGAGGCAACGGTGTAGAAATGGACAGTTGAATATAGATGTTTTTGCTTTTCCTGTGAAATCCACACATGCAGCAAATATGCAGAAAAAAAGCTTTTATTTTATTTTTTATCTAAATGCAAAACTTTACTTTTTTCAGTGGTTTTGAACAAAGTTGTGGGGATTTTGGGGAAATTGGGTTTTCACCAAGTCACTGATTGTAAAAAATAGTTGTTTGATAAAGAATCACTTGAACTGTCCTAAAAGTGGGGGAGTGTATGTTAAAGATTGAAGTTGGTTTAAAATTATCTATTTAATATAATGGATGATGCAGCAGTTAGAGCGTCAGGCTTTGCTAAGCTCACCTCCATATTTTCCCATGATTTTCGTTTGATTTCAGATCATAAAGTGCAGGAAATGGCAATATGATCTCTACTGAGTGTTAATGTTTGATCATTTCCAAATTAAACAACAGTTTCTCTTAATTATAGTAGGTTTTGCCCATTAGTGTTTGGGAAATCACCCTGCACCAATAACACAAAGCAACCCCAAAGCATAACATCTACTGAACAGGACATGGCAGGCTATGCTACTGCTCAGGAGCTTGATTTGGGTCTTATCTGACTATTTCTCCTAAGCTGTAGTAAAGAACAAGTGTGTGTGTCTACTTGTTTTCCTAATATGAATCTCAATAAACTTAAAATGATGTATCATCAAGAGAAAGAACAAGTTCAACATTCTAAAAGGGGCTTACTGACAAGAAATGTCAGAAAAGGGATACATTTATTGGAGGTATGGTGTCACTGTGGGACCCAGATTTAAAATGTGAATTCAGCTGAGGAAACTCACAATCAACAGGGGATCCTTATCACCCCCACTTCACATCGTGTAGATGTTTTTGATCATCCTACAGAAGGAAATCCAACAAATTATAAAACGCTCAACACTTCATTTTCATGTTAGGTTTGTAACAAACATTTTTATTTTATCTGTGATGCCTTTCAGCTTATAGCCTTATTGTAATGGGATAATTTTGTTCTCTTGTTAAATCTCACGCATAAAGACTATATAATGTTATTTCCATTTTGTCTTTCTATGTGATGTTTCTTTTTTTCATGATTGTACAGAAAATCCCTTTTCTTTCATTAAGAAGCTACAGAGAAAGGTTTTTACTGAAAGTTATTTTTTTGGTTATAGTTAAAAACATGTAATCCTTTTCTTATGTTTAAACTGAATGTTTTCTGTGTTGTTTAGTTAGACCAGGAGGTGGCAGCAGATTCCACCTAGACTGCTATTATATGTTAACGTTATTTAGTTTTTATTTCCTAAATGCAGCACAAAACTGGAGATTTTGCTCATATTCTTCTCCTTCAGTCGTTCTTAAACTTCAGTCTTGGAGCAATGACTGAGAAAACTGAACTCCCCCAAGTAACACCATTAATACTTGTATTAAAACAGTGCAATTCAAATGCTGTAGGTTTAAAATAGCTGCTGGTTGGTTTGAATAAAAGCACTGATTTTATTTTGTTAACTCAAGAAGCACTGTGTCAGCATTTGCATTAATACAGTTCAACACAGTCGTGTGCTATTGTCCTGTTTAGGTTTTTTCAAACTCCATCCAATATCTTTTTAAAAATATCTGAAAAAAACTTTAGAGTATAAACATTTGAACGATCTGTGTGTCTCATGTCCTCCACGGCTTTACTGTCTTATTCTCATTTTTGAATTGAACAAAACTGGAAATTCAGATGATCATAACTGTTTTTATCTCCATATTTGAATGAGTTCTCTTTTTCACAACATTCAACTATAATTTAATTCAGTTTATTTATATAGTGCCAATTCACAACACCTTGCAGTTCAACCAGATCATACAGTCAAATTGATTCAAAGTTTTCTATCTACACCACAAAACCAGTTAATTGCATCGACTCTTCTCAATCTCTCACTCTAAGCATGCTTGTAGCGACAGTGGAGAGGAAAAACTCCCTTTAAACAGGAAGAACCTGCAACAGAACCAGACTCAGTGTATGCGGTCATCTGCCGACGCCGACTGGGGTTCAAGGAGACGGAAGCAGACATAGAACTATAGCAGTTGAAAATGCAGGAACTGAGTCAAAGATGTAAAGTGTATTTTCTTTAATCTACAAATGTTAGAAATTAGTAGGTTCCAACAAGAAAACCTTTTTTTTTTTTTTTTGTCAGGAGGTCAAATTTGGAGCAGTCATTGTAAGGCTGAGTGTTTCACTACCAGTGGCTGTAGTGCACTAAACTACATTGGTGGAAAAATAGAGAGGAAGAACTGCCCCCAAATTCTGCATCAATACCTCAATACCTTGGCAGCTAAACCGATGGAACTATTAAAGGATTTTTTTTTTCAGTACAGTGATCCCAAACATGCATCCAACGGGTTCAGTACATGAATTATGCAAACACTTTTTATAATTTAACCATGCTTTTAAGATGAGTGTTACGGGAAGCCAGGTGGTCCAAATGATGTCACACAGTTTAAAGCATTGCTTGACATTAATATTCTGTTTGACACAACAAGGCTTTTATTAAGGCACTCTCAGTTATTATTTTTGTCAGTCAAGTCTTTCGTGCTCAATTTATGGTTGTCACTTCTGTTTTTTGGTCGATGAGGCTTCTTTCAAGTTTTATGTAAACATCTTATTCGCCTCATGCTGTGTGGATGAACAGAGACAAAATTAAATATAAAGATACTAAAAATCTAAAATTAAAATAGACTTTCAGCTAAGGAGAAAAACATTTCTCAGAATAGAAAAGTGTTGAGTTTTAGAAATATCAAAAGGGAAATATTCAAGATAAAAAGAAAAGAGCAGGCAATTCACATAAAAGAGACAGTCAATACCCGGTTAAACTGGAAATGAAAAATAACATGCAGTATGAAAATGTAGAAAATGTATTTGTTTTGGAATATTAAATTTAAACTACTCATAATCAAAGCAGGTTTTCTAAAAGTTGTTTAGCTTTTTGCTTTCAGCAGGTTTTGTGCTGACATCACTAGTCTTCAAATATGCAACACTCCAGGTTTCTATCTACTGTAATTCTTTTTTTAGAGGCATATAGCTTAGATTAAAACATTTGTCTTGTGGCTTTAGAGCTTTAAATCAGTAACCCTCTGTTGCGTATCCATGCATCCTCTCTAATACCATGTGCTTATCTGAGATCAGATTACAGGGGTAGAAGGGAAACCTCCCTTTCTTATAAACACCCTCCGGTTCATCCTTGTGGATCTCAAGGCATTTATAACTCCCAGGCGTGCTCCAATTGCTGTTGGTAAGAAACATTTACCACAAATATTATTCTGGACATAAATACCACAGTCTGAGAACCATTTTGGACCAGATTATAATGTTTTGATCTTTTTCAGACAGGAGTTGTTAAACTATGGAACAAAATTTACATTTTAAAATTTGGCTTCATCCATTATCTAAATGATAAAAATCAGGATTTTTGGTAGACTAAAGCACTTTTAATATGAATTGTTCTTCAAATATCTTCTTTACTTATGAGTTTATCACTAACTTTATTTTTCCAATTTAGGTATCATTTTAGATTTTGGTTTCTAAAAGATAAACTCATTTAAGATAATAAAGTGTAGTTTTAGTGGGAGTTCTTTTTCCTTTAAGTAGTTATAGTTCTATTTGCTAAACTTTGCATAAAGTTTCTAAACAGGAAACTGGAAAATAATTTCGTCAATAATAACAAATTGTGATTTTAAGAATCCGTTTTCAATCAAGGACAGAGATTTCTATATAAGAACATGTTTTAACAAATTCAGGTTTGTTTTGAAGCAAAATACAAGGCCACTGACCACCTACTGCTGAATAAGAAGCCATCTTTAACATAGTGTGTTTATGATTTTACTGTGTTTATGAAGTGGGAATTATATAACCAAAGTATTTAGTTGGTTCAGACCCATCAATGCATAAAGTAAAAAATAAAATGATTGGAAAATTGAACAGATTGAATCTGGAATTCTGTGCATTTCAAATAAACTCTAATGTAGATATTACAGGAATCCTGATGTCGGTTTACTCCAGGGGAAGCACGCCATACTCCATGTTCTGTTACAGCACATTAAACATTTGCACCAGAATAAGAACCAGCTTGAATTAACAAGTTGGTGCAAAGAATTTCACATTGGTTCCACTTCCTCTATCAATAAAAACATTTTGAATATAAATAAAAAATAAAGTAAAGATAAATTAAACTTGTTTTTTTTTTTATATGTACATATAATGCATATTACGATAAACCCAAGGTTAAACCAGTGCAAACATACACGGCATTAATCTGGAAACTGTGACTATTATGTGTTCATCAGAGGGAGAGACTGGGTTAGAACCCATCTCTGTGGTCCCTGGTTTAGTGCTCTGCAGCACTGACCTGAAGGTAAGAGTCCAAATCCTGGATGGAAGGAAGGTCAGCTCTGATTAACCTCTCTGCAGACCAGATTGTCCATTGTAGTTGGAACCTGTCCTGTTTTTTGGAATGAGCCAAACTACATAGTGATGGACAAACTCAGGATAGCCTGAATAATGGAAGCACGGTCTGGACTTTCATTTCAACAGTTTCTGTGTAAAGACCAGCTCAGGCCCTGAGAAAAGGTGGTTCCCTGGAAGTGATCCAAAGTCAACACGGTGTGGCTGAGGATATTGCGGGGTGTTACTGGGAAGTCCACTGTCTTGGGTGGCCAGAAGTTTCTGACTGTACAAGTAAACCAGCCAATCAAACTCGTGTCTGTATGCAGACTTGTCAGTATCCTTGCTCAAACCACAAAAAATCTCAGTTTTTCTCATTACTCTATGTTGTTTAAATGTGTCTCTTATCCAACAGTTCAAGAGGTGACACACACTGTATCTTCCTGGTTGGTTGGTTATCTCAGAAGGTGTAAGTCTGCAAAGTTGGGTTTCCTGCTTTTGTTCAGAGGTAATCAATCCTGTCAGCTCTGCTGTTCAAATGTATCCTTTTAGATTAGCTTTTCTACATTAAATGAATGTTGCCTGAGACCAACGTTAGTGCAGGAACACTGACACTCAGAGAACCTTTACTTTTTTCACACTCTTCAGGACACCGCTGTGCCCCTCATCATTCCCTCTGATAACAGCTCAGAGGGGATCCAGAGCCCCTGTTGGGAGATTTTGTTATTCCCTTAACTCTGAAGAGTGACAGCTACCTATTGTTTCTGTTCTCTCAGTCGCCCATTGCCATGACTCCTTTCCGCGCTGGCTTAGGACAGGATGTAGTGGACATTTTTGCTGTATTTGTTTGGCATTTTCTGCTTTACTCCTCAACCTGTTATACATTGTTCCTATTCCACTAGGGAATAGGTTGAGGTATTCTGGGGTGGCTATATTTAAAAATGGCAAGGATTGGTAAAGCTTCCTGTTTTCCTTAAAAAAATGTGAGCCACACAATTGGAAGATTCCATACTATTTATGAATTCTGTTTCCTAAAGACCGTATTGTTTTATTTAGATCTAATCTGTAGAATTCACATCTGGAACATTACAGTAGGCTTGTTTTCTTATTCGTTCATCATGTTTGTTTTGCTTTTTAAAGGTATTAATATTAATATTATAAATATTTAAGAATAATCCAGGTACACCCAAGGCTGATGCCCACAATAAAGTGGGAGATGCTGAAACACTACTATTGCTGCACACAGTAAGGAGGATTTAAATTAGGAATGTGGGCAGATCACCTAAATAACCTCTAGAGCAGGCATCCCCAAACTCGGTCCTCGAGGCCCACTGTCCTGCAGGTTTTAGAGGTTTCCTTGCTCCAGCACAGCTGATTTTAATTGAAAGCTAATTGACAGGCTTTTGCTCTACTGCAATCATTATAATCAGCTGTTTTAAAGCAGGGAAACCTCTAAAACCTGCAGGACAGCGGCCCTCGAGGACCGAGTTTGGGGATGCCTGCTCTAGAGCAAAACATAGCAAGAATGAAATATGTATTTTTCACAATGCCGTCTATGGAACAGTGTTACAGACAAAGATTGAACTACTGAATTGCTTGAAATTATGCCTATTTGAAGAAATCTAGTTCCCGCCTTAAGACCTATAAAAACTCAACCACTTGTCATACATGGCTGAATGATCTTATACCTGAAAGTCTGTTTAGCAGCTGGTGGTACTGGTGCCATGCACTAAGAGGTAGGCTTGAAACAGAAGAGAACCTTTAAGATTTGCAATTTTAATTCAAATTAACAGCTAGCTCAGTGAAACCTAAACAAAGTTTGGTTTATTAAAAAGATCACGATCCAAAAGACCCACTGAATGACTTGTATTTGCAGAGGATAGATGTGTATATGGCGTTACCCAACATTCAAATATATATATTTGCTGTATATACTATGCCTGAATTCTGTGTCAGCTGCCGAAAACAAGACAGTTTAAATAATGAATTTATTTATCAGACATTATGGGATTATTCCATTATTATGCTGATGATACTCAGCTATATTTACCTATAACTCTTAATGTACATAGACTACAGACTAATCTAGGATTACTTTAAAGTTTCTGGTTTTTAATTCAGATAGGACATAAGTTATTGTGTGTGGACTGGAATCTGAAAAATAATCCACTAAGTCCGTTATCTGAATGGTATATTGACCTCAGGAAATAATATAAAAACCGTTGATGTTATTTTTGATTAGGACCTGTCATTTAAATTTAATTTCAAACAATTCTGTTCAATCTGGGATGTAAATGGAAACTCTGCCTCTCAAATATGACACCCCAGCAGTTCCCTATGTTCCTAACAGATCACTTCACTCTCAATCTGTATTTTTTTCACTGGCACGTAGAATCTCTAAACATTTGCTTTGGAGGCAGATATTTTAGTTATCAGGCTCCTCTCCTGTGGAAGCAGCTACCACTTTTAGTCTCTGAGTCAGACCCCTGTCTACATTTAAGGCTAAGCTTAAAACTCTCCTTTTTCCATAAAACTTATAGTTAGGATGACCCAGGTTATCCTGAGCTATCTCTATAGTTATGCTGCTATAGGTTTAGGCTAACGGGGGGCATAGAGACCCCTTTACATCACTTTGCTACATTCTACTTCTATCCTCTGGTTTTCAAATGTTTGTTAAACTTTTAACTTTATATTCTCTCTGTTTTTCCTCATTATAGTAGCTACACCCTATACCTATAGCCTATGCAGGTATTTTAACTTTACCTTCTCTTACATATAAAAAAAATGACTATGTCTTCTTGAACCCAATTTAGCCTTGGCAGAAGACTCCTCACATCGAGCCTGGTTCTGCTGGGGGTTGTCTGCCTGTGAAAACTGAATTTTTCCTCTCCACTGTCACTGCATGCATCCTTGATGTGAGGGATTGCTGAAAACTCAAGGCCACAATACAAACGAATGTGACCTTGACTTTGCAGGCACTGAATGTCCACTGTCCCTACATGCTCGTCCAACAGGTGACTCAGTACTTCAGCTGGGTTTCCTTAGACAGGAAACTTTTAACCACTCTATTGTTTGGAATTTTCTCTGTAAAGTGTTTTGACATGAGATGATTGAAAATAAAAAACACTTTGATATAGCAAGGAAAGCATCAATGTTGATGGTCTGTAATAAAAAAAATAAAAAAATTTGGCACTCTCTTCACACAGAATCATTAAAACTATTGCTTCCCTACAAAAACATTAATCACAAAAATATGTCTGCCTAATATGACCTTTGATTACTCATTCACATAAAAAGCACTTTCCTTTAAATGACAGAGGAGTCACTGTCTGGATCCCAAACATTTCCAATTATGGCTATAAATGAAATATGTTTTTAGGAAAGGACCTATTTTCTAATTCAACATTTAAGTTTAAGTATTATTTATTTCAGTTTGCTTATGTAGTGACTGTTCAGATCAAAGGTCGTTATAAGGCATCTTATAATAACCCCTAAAAAAAACTTTTTTTTAAAAGAGGGCAACTGATTTTATATAAATTTTCTGTTTCAAACTTAAATTTTCTCGAAGTAAATTTCTACATTTTAAATTTTATTATCTGCAATATTTAAAGGTATTACTGATTAATTAAAGATATAATGGAGGATTTTCACAAATATTTGAAAGACCGTCCTCTCACTTTTTAAAAATAAATGCAGATACACGATGGCCTTTTTAAACATCTCACCTGAATGATTGACATTTAGGAGGACCACTTATTTGGATGATCCACCCAGGAAAAGAACAGCCTCCACTATACCTTTAAATTTTGATGCCTTTGGGAATTTCAATATTGTACGTGTGGTGACTTGCCGCTCTGGGATTTTTTGTTTCTCTTTAGTTTTCACTTAGCGTTAGGCTTTGATTATGTGATTATTTTGTTACTGTAACTGTATAATTTTTGAATCACTTCTTGGTTTTACTATTCCTGTTTGGTGTTTTTTCAGTTATCTCCAGTCGGTTCCCCTCTCCTCTCTTTTTCCCCTTGTTCAATTTTTATTTTCAAGTAATTGTCCTTATTTGCCTTTTGCTTCATTTAAGTTACTTTTTAGTTTTAGTTCAGTCCCTTTCCTTTCCCTTTAGCTGCTTCTGTCCACACCTTCTCCCAATTAGCTGATCACTCCACTCATAGTTCTGTCTCCTATATATACATTGCTGTTTTCTCTTCATTTTATTTATGTATGTTTCCCTCAAGTGTCTCTTTGTGTTTGTTGCCAAGTTCCCTGCCAGTTCAGTCTGGATTTATGCTTTTGTTGCTACTTCATCATTAAACTTACAAGAAACCATCTCTGCTTCCATCTCTGCATTTGGGTCTTCTATGGCTCAGTTTTAGTTGTCTGTTGACATAATTCAAAGTAACCTGGAGTAAAGCAGCTAAATGAGGTGAAAGGTCAGAGGTGAAGATTTTCTGTGCACAATGAGGCTACAATGGCTGCAAAAATACGAATGGAAAGTTCTTTGGTGGTGATGCAGCTGAAGGCTGTGCTCTCAAAGAGGTCATTCAGGAAGGAGAGAGGAGGGGACAAGCAAGTCTACCTCCAGCACCCTTTATAAACATGCTTTTTACTGCATCTTGACTAAACTCCAAAGGAAAAACAGAAAACCAAGGATTGGAGATACATCTGGTTTTATTTGATCTTTTTTAGCATTTCCATCTGATTTACTTCAGCTTTTACTCTGTAAAAAAAAATCCCACATCAGAAAAATAATACTTTTTAGTTTTGTTTTAGTTTTCAGCACCAGCAGCCATGTACAGCTCCAGCTACTCCCGTGCCAAACTTGGCCCGGAGTCCAGACAGCCACTGTATAGGAACAAAGGAAAGAGCTGCGGCTACTACATGAGGATTGTTTTTTTCTTTTCATCCCTCATCCAGTCTCTCATTATCGTCAGCCTTGTGCTCTTCCTCATCTATGGACAGCCAGAGAAGTCTGCAGAGGAGAAACGAGTCGAGGTTAGTGAGTTCTTCTTAAGTAACTTTTGAGGATTTATTTAGTGACTGCCTTTATGACTGAATCATTATAAAGGAATCTTTGTCTGATTATGTATAAAAGAAAAATCTAAAGTGTCATCTGTCACACAGATTTATTGTCCTATTGGACTTTTTCCTTTTGCTGATGTGGATGATTCATTTTTTTTCCTGGTTGTATGCAATATTGTTCACTGATGCTGATTATTCTTCTTGTTCAGGAGCTGGAGCAAGGCTTTAATAAGCTAAACGTGAACAACTTTGAACTGAAGAAGGAGAAAGCTGAGCTCGAAGCTAAGCTGGCTGCTCAGAAAGCTGAGAAAGCTGCTCTAGAGAAACAGATGGCAAAACAGCTAAACGAATCTACCAAAGTAGAAAACGAGCTCAAGAAAAAGATTGTAAGTATAGAGGATAAACACTGGGAAGATGCTTCAGTGTATTTTGCCATGTATTGCACTTTAACCTTTTTAACAGAAACAAACGACTTTTGGTAAATTTAACATTGTGTTGGATAAAAAAAAAAAAAAAAAAAACTTTCTTTAGTTTCTCATTTTAGCACCTTTGCAACACAAAAAAGTTGCTTTGTATCAATTCAACAGCTGCCTTTTTTTTTTTTTGAATAGACAACCCTTCAAAATACAGTGACTTTGCTGCAGCGTCCAACTCGTACTTTCATCCCGCCCCCACCACCTCCACCGGTCACAAATAACAGTAAGTAACCAAAAAAATATCTAATACTGGAATTAAAACTTAAACTATACCCAAAAAAATACTGAAACAAATAATAAATGTAGCTTTCAATATTCTAGTTTGAAATTATTATGAAAATAATGAAATCGTGCATTTAAATCCTTTCTGTTTTTATATTTTGATGATATTTTGATTATCTTTCCAAACATTTGATACAAAATGCTGTAGCAGATACATCTGCTGTGAGCAAACTTCATGTTTGTGTCCAAAAGCATTCACTGCAATTTTTATTTCTACTCCAAACTACTAATCTGAAAGACACTGCATGAATAGGTAGTCTTATTAAAAACTACTTGTACATCTGTTCTGTTCACCTTGGATGCAAAAAAAATCCTCATTTTGAAAAACTCAATACAGAGTTTCCCTAAAGCTTAGGTCTAGCCTATTTCTTTTAAGTTTATAGATAACTGACTTGCCATACATTGATCATGGCACAGTTTTCCCAATACAATACATATAGTAAGAAATGTTGGAGGTGAGGATGTTCCTTCTCTTATAACGATTTAAACTGAGTTGAATTCTATGTATTCAGTATGTTTTACCATCAAGTTTAATTTAATTACATTTTTTGCATTGGAACTGAGTACAAAATCTGAATTAAACCAAAATGAATTGTTATAATAATCAGTCTATCACAGCCTAACACAGAGATTTTTTGGCCTCGGGCATCTTAACAATTAAGTTTCTTAACTAATATATACTTTTTCATCATAAAATCTCATTTAAAATATCACAAGAGAACAAAAGATGGTGTGCAAAGCTTCAAAAATCAAACTGACTCACACGTCCAAACTAATCAGAATCTGCTTTTTATATAACCACTAACAAACTACTACAACTCAACTATAGAAGAATGAAAACTTTATTGTTTAAAGCTGTATTAAGCCCATAGGATCACATAACTTTTATGTACTTTTCAAATCTGACCTGTGTTTTTTGTAACCAGATGTCTGACAATTAATCACAAATTAAACGGACAGCGTACATGCTGATGTTTTGGTACCAAATCTATACAAATGAATAAATAAAATCTATGTAATCAGAATGTTAAAAAAAAATAAAAAAAAATCATTTCAGTAACTCAGTTTACTAAGTGAAACACATTATACAGATTAAATACACACAGACTGGGTTTATTAAATACAATTGTAGGTATCAGAACTATATTGTTAACCTAATATAAGCATTACAAAATAAAGATTTTAAATGTAATATGTGTTTTGTTATATTATTCCAACTGGCAGCAATAGTCACAAATCCTGCAGATCTAATTTAAGTCTACCAAACCTAGTAGAGAGGTAGAAACTATGCACTAAATTACACCAACATATATCATTTTTGGAAGGGGAGTGGGAATCTTATTTAACACGGAGGGAACTCCTGCTGTCATACATACTGCAGAAAAGTTGTTAGTATTGTAGTTCTTTTTTGTGACACAAACCTTACCTTTTGAACTCTGCAGATCAAGGAATTCTAAAAGCAACCATCTCTGAAAAGGAAAAATTAATAGCCCTTGTTAAATCAAACTTCACTCAGACGGTTCAGTATCTGAGTCACGAGAGGGACAGGGCCCTCCGAGAACGAGACGTCCACATCGAGGAAGCCATCAACCTCCGCAGAGATAACAACCTCCTGAGGGAACAGCTCAATATCTATACCAGGTGCTGTCTACCTGTCCTCGTGATGTAGTTGACTTTAAATATAAGGGACAGTCTCATGATGGCAGCTTTTCTTTCAAATCAGGAAATGCAAAGAAGACTTTGCTCAGTCTCTGGATGGGATCCAGTCGGTGACCACCAAGTTTTTGAATCAGATCCACAACATGTTCCCTCACTCGCAGACGTTCCACCTCTCCTGCCAAAGCCAGAGGGAGCAGCTGGAGAAGATCCGAAGCAGCTGCACCAACCTGTCCAGGGATGTGGAGAGCAAGTTCCAGCTCTATCTGGACAATGTGGGCAACAAGGTGTGTTAATGCAGACTGTTTTTAATCACCTTAGAATAGTAGAAGAAGGAGATGAATACATTTCCAGTCTTAATAAGTATAAATGCTCCAGTAATGTTCCTATATCTCCTGGTTTGGATTGAAGGTTTGTCTTTATGTACTTTTTTGTAGTTTCGTGAAACAGGAGGGGTGCATCAAGTTTGCCACCTCACATTTTTCTTTATATTTGGTTTTGTAACATTTTCATATGTAAAATCTGAATACACAGAAATATCACAACATAATATCGTATAAAAAATAATAAGCCGTTATTCAACCAGAAAAATCGTACTGAGATTCATAATCTCTTTAAAAAAAAAATACAGGACAAACTTGGCAGCAGAAAACAGAGTTATACACCATTAAAACAAAATCTGAAATTATTAAAATAAACATTTTCCCCAAAAAATAAGTAAATACATTAAAGAATCCTATTGATCTTTTGCCAGCATAGTTTCTAAACAGCATTTAACCTCACAGGTAAAGATTGCTGCCAAACCAACCATGGATTAAATTTCCCCTTAACAAATATTTCCTAAAACCTCCTCCAAAGAGCAGAATGAACAGGAAACCTGTTTCTCCAGGGAGGAAGTTTACTCACGACATCATTCCTGATAAATCTGGCTAAAGAGACAGATGTCCTGTGAGGCAAACCGAGGTCAAGTCTAAGGTGAAGCTGTCCGCCCTGCTGATGCAGCAGGACAAAAAAACAATGCATTTTTTTCCCTCTGTAGAAAAATTTTATGTGGACTCCAGAAAAGGTTACAAAAATATATACCATATATATTTTTTGTTGTCTTCCTTTTGTTTATTATTTTGTACATTCTGTGTTAAAGTTGTGTTGATCAAACTATTTCAGCAAGGCTTACTTTCAGCATCTCTAGGTTAGATTTAGACAGAATGCAGAGCTTTAAAGAAGAAAATAAAGTGTCTTTCTTTCTGGGTTACACAATAGAAACATGGGAGCCAATGCCACAATTCAGATGTCCATGCATGTCCACAGGGAACAGGTGTAAATAATAATAATAAGAATAATATTAATTGAACTTTATTGATCTCACACTGGAGAAATTTACCTTTAAATTTAACCCATCCCTTTGGGGAGCGGTCGGCCGCCACCTTGCTGTGCCCTGGGAGCAGTGTGGGGTTAAGGGTCTTGCTCAGGAACCCAGAGTGGAGGCTGTGGGGATCGAACCGGGTTTTTTGCAACCTTCTCAGAGCACAAGCGCACTGCTCTAACCTAATCATCATCTGTCTTAGAAAAAAAATCATGTGTGAAAACAAAAAAACTGAGAAAACAATATAAAGATAAAATAATATGAATAATCTAGCCCAAATAAACATAGAATCCTTAATATAATAGAAAACGAGTAGAGATTGGGCAGTCAGCACTGCTCTAATTGAAGGCAGGGACTTGCACAGACCAGAAACCACTGCTGAAGGGGCTCTGTGCGGATCTGCAAATGTATTAGTTTGCTATTTAGCTGTTTAGCAGGAGAGCTGTGGTGTGAAAGATAAGACAAATAATTTAATTATTTAAAATAATTTAAAGCCCTATGGGCTTTTAATACCATTTAAAGCTGGATCCTGAAATGGCCTTGAAACCAGTAGGTAAAAGCAGACGTAGTCTGATCTCACTGCTCCACAGCCGTGGGATAGCTCATTTTACTGACCTTTAAAAAAAGAAAAGGTCTTCATTCAATGTTTTCAATGAATAAAACACAGAATAAACAAAAATCAAAAAGTAGAAAAGCAAATGAAAAACATAAATTACATCCAGGATTAAAAAAAAAGAAAAAAAAATTATTGAGCTCAATAACAAATACTAGAAAGTTGATGTTTAAAGATTGTCCAGCTTAAAGGGATTTTGGTTTTATGCTTAGATAAGATGAGAAGATAAAACATTAGATAAGACAGACACAGACACATACATATAATCATGTTAAATTAAAACCTCACAGAGAGAACAAAACACAGGAAGGACAATTAAAACGTAAAGTAACCGTAATTTCAGCTTTATTTCAGTATCATTATTTTTAAAACTTTGTGTAAAATCTAACCTGCCTTATTCCGTTATATTTACACAACTGTTTATATCAAAGTATAATTCTTCAAAAACATATTAATTCTGGCTCCAATTATCTCATACTGCATGTATATATAAAATATATATTTCAATCTCTAGGTGGTGGAGATTCAGGGTCTCTCTAGCAAGCTGGAGGCACACAACTCATACCTGACCTCCAGCCTGGAGCAGTGTGAAAAAAAGCACAAAGAAGCGGTCGCCAAGGCTGCCAGCGACTTAGAGCTCAAGCAAAAGGCTCATGATGACAAGGTGGGTGTTGGTAAAGTTGGTGGAAAGATTAAGGACAAGGTTTTGTTTTTCAGTACCTGTTCTCAATGCATGAACTAAAGATTTTTGTTCAAATAACTATTTTTTTTAAATAGCCTGTGTCTTTTTTATTATTTTTTTTAGGTAGAGCAAATACTGATTGAGAAGAAACGACTGAGCGAGCAGAAGACACTGCTGGATGAAAAACTGGCCCTGAGGGAGAAAGAGATTCAGATGCTGAAGGAATCGATGCCCAAGGTAGGAAGCACGACTTGATACAGCTATTTTATGTGTAATAAAACAGCCTAAACAGATTGTTTCACGGAGATGTTGTGGAATTTCAGATTGTATCTTAAATTTTGGAAAAATGTTGATTGTTTGGTTAATTAGGCAGGAAAGGCTGCAGCAGCAGGAAGGATGGAAAAACAGGATAACAAAGCAGAACATTTAGTGCTTAAAATCAATCAGCAAACACTGTACAGCTCTTCGGTGTTTGAAAGCAGTTGCAGTGAATTCATGATCTATGGTTCAAAAGAAATGAAATCATGTATTTCTTTACAGACTGGTCCACTAACCGCTGCTTCGCCACAGAGTGTGCCTCAGCAGGGGAGACCGGCTGCAGCGAACTGGCCGGTCAACGGCTCAGCTGGAGTCAGTAATGCTCCAATTGTAAGTTTACATTCTAAAAACCTATGTAAACAATCCTTGAAGCAACTTTTGAATAAATCATTGGTATGTTTTGATTTTTGCTTATGAAGAAGATAAAATAAACTTGAACTTTATTGATCTCACATCGGAGAAATGTACCTTTGCATTTAACCCATCCCCTTGGGGAGCAGTGTGGGGTTAAGGGTCTTTGCTCAGAGAGCCAGAGTGGCAGTCTATGGGAGTGGGGCTCGATCTCAGAACCTCAGCATTCCAAGCTCTATGCCCTAACCAATAGGCCGTCACTCCACTCCTGCTGCTCATACTGAAGCTAAATTTATAGCATTAATATCACAAAAAAGATACGATCTCAACAAGATGATAAAGACAAATGTGCAGAGTTGCTGCTTATCATTTGAAGTAGAAACTGAAGTTTTTGAATAATAGTAAAAACTGTCCTGAACTTAAATAAGTTTGTAAATGTGGTTATTTTTCTGCTCCTGTAAAATCAAACTGTCTTTACCATTCATGCATCAAATATACTCCCATCATGTGTGTTGATAATTGTTTTCCATCTCTCAGGTTGGTTGAAAGGAGGCCTTCGTCCATCCACTACCTGCTCCATCCACCTCTGGCACAGAAACAGACTCCAGTTCTAATGTACATCCTTCATCTCTTAATGAACATGTTTATAGAACAATTAGCAAACCCTTGGGGAAACCTGTTAATAGCTAATGTAACGCATCCACCTATGGTTTTAGGGTTTTAAGAATAAGAACACAATTAAAACAATCTGAATTTCACCAGGTCGTAAAGTTATTTCAGGCTTACTTTAAAGGTACATAAAATGTAAGAAATTCCACATAAAAAAAAAACCCAAGCAGAAATAGAAAAGCTTTGTGTTTCTGTTGCATGTAAGAGGAGAAGGTTAGCAGCCAGGTGTTTCTAACTGATTATCTGCAAGTACAGTCTCTTTTCTGAAGGGCAGGACTTCTACCTGACTGCTGTGTTCAGGTATAAATTTATTTGATGTAAAAAATTTTAAGTTTTAAGAGCAGTAGGTTTAAAGAAGTAGATATCAGACTAGAAAAAGCAAGAAAAGTATTTTGAACATAGTTGAAATAATTTCTTCTAATGCACCACGAGACTCCAAATTTACATATTTAATGTAAATTTTAAGATGGGACAACTCCGCTTTTCTGCACGGATGAAAAGAGGCAATGCTGATCAGCACCACGTCAGGCCTGGAGGTGGTGGTAATGGTAAACAGTTGTACTTGTATGGTGCTTTATTAAGTCCCAGAAAGCTAAAGAGCTTTGAGCCACAACCAGTCTGGAAAGCAAGTGAAAAGCAAGTAAAGAGTTCTTGCCAAGGACACAACCACTGAGACGGGTTACAGGATGAGCTCTTCCTGTGCCCCGTGGAGCCTTCAATGATTTGGCCTGTAATGCTTCCACCAGAATTGAGCACATTGCAGCAGAATCAAAGATGGACCTGTGTGTTCAGCAGCAGCATTGAAAAATAGCACAAAATTGCTCTTAGAAGCTGTGAAGTGAGGGCAGCTAAAGGTGGCTCTACAAGCTACTGCATCATGAGGTGCATTCCGTGCATTTTCTTACCCATCATATGGCTTCATATTTGATCCGTAGATACTTCAAATCTGAATTACTTTATTGAGAGCATTTAGGGTTTAAGTAAAAAAAAAAAAAGTGAACCTGGTAAATATCAAATTCTTATTGTTTTACAATACTTAAAACCAAACAAGTGCGCTCTGGTTTCCTTTTCCCACATGACTGCTGTATTAATGACACCCTTTCAATATGTAAAAAACAAAAAAACTGAGTGACACATGTGTAAATATTTTTTTTGAGTGTCGCTCACAGACTAAAAATGGCCTCTGACTCACTCTGAAACATTATTGTCCTCTTATTGTCTGAGCAGCAGTAAAAATGTAGACCAGGATACAGACAGCAGCTAATCTTGCCTGCTATAAGCTAAAATAGCCACATTTATGTTTCCTCTTGACTCATGGATTATACCACAACCTGCCTGCAACAGTACAGACGTAAACACATCATCAAATCTGCAGCCGGTGGCTCTGCTTCTAATTTTAGTGTTTATGGTGGGCTTAAAAAAGGGTTGAAACTATTAAGCACCCATTTTATGGCTAATTTTATAGTTTAAGTAACTAATATAGGAACCATTCTCTAGCTTTACAGCTTCCTTTTCCTTCCAGAAGCAAAGTGTACATTGGTTTCTGTGACTGGAAACAGATGCAGGTCTTTTTTACGATTATTAGGGGCTCATTCTGGTACACATGAAGAAGGAAGGGGAAAATATAGAAACATCGTAAAAAGGAAACTGTACTTATGTTCAGGATCAGGTGGAGATATAAAGACTGTAAATATTGTACAGATGATAATTTCACACCGCAGATTTTTATTGATTAAAATCATGTTTTTTATTCTGAAATTGTTTTTTTCCTCCTACTAACATATATAAATGTATACAAATTGAAATATCTAGCACACAATGTGATGTAATGTTGTTAACTTGCGTGATAGCATTAAACCGATGTATTAATGTGAAACTTGATTTTAAACAGCTTGACTTCTCCTAAATATGTAAATGTAGATGTGTCTGTAACTTGTTTGTGCTTGTAACTGTGATATTATTGTTAAATAATTAAATTAACTTTATTCAGTCAAAAGTCAAATGACTGCTGTGAATGCAAAAAAAGAAAAGAAAACATGGCTGTAGTGATTGTCCTGCAGCAAAACCAAAAAACTCAACCAGTTAATATGTTTCTAATTATTAGAGGTGAAGAGAAGCTAAAACAAACCTCTACTGCAAACCTTTTGTTTGTGAAATCATGTAAACAAAACAGTTACTTGACTATCCTCAATGTGTGCTACTTAAAAACATTTAGTTAATTCAGGAGTTAAACACTGATGTATCTGCTTTAGAATAAAACCATATGGGTTCACCTAATATTAGTTGGTAAAAGGGTTATTGGTCTTTATATCCCTGCTTGTGTTTACATTCATGGCCTAAAATTAAGGCTGCTTCCATTGTACGCTGGAGTATGTCAGAGCTGCACCTTATCACTGATCCTGTTTGTGGTGTTTATGCAGAGAAGTGTCCGATTTGGGAACCTCAGGATCTTATATTTCTAATATATTTCTTATATTCTTTCTCTTATTTGAAGACCCAAATGGTTTCAGTCCCACTTCCTTAAGTCCACAGATAAACAGATAAACACAACATGGACAAACAATGCTGCAAGGAAAACAAAAGATTAAAATTCTGCTAAAGTAAAATTATTTAAAATAAAACACAAAGGGTGGAAGTAAAAAGCAAAATACGATAATAAATAGTTTAGTACCTGGCTGCAGAGCTGCTTTCCTTCAGCAGGAAAAATAAAGCTGTTCATAGTTAATCGGAAGTTTGATGGAGACAGATTGTATGAAACTCGAGCAAGGATTTAAGTTCCAGCAGGACAAAGATCTTAAAACCCTAAAACACCAAGGTTTACAAAAGAATATAAATGCTTTAACAGTTACAAAACTGGTGTTTGCAGACACTGTTCATCAGATTTGACTGAGACTGAAGCATTTACAAAAGAATAGGAAGGATTTCAGTCTCTAATATGTAATTTTGGTGGAAGCAGTGAATGGAGTGAATGGTACTTCTACAAAGTAGGGGACACTGAGGACGGTTGCAGCTCTTTTTCCTTTTCTCTCAGCTACCTCAAGAAGACTAAGCCCAGGCCAACCACTATATATATATATCTATATATCTATAGATATATAGATATATAGATATATATATATATATATAATTTACAATTGTCTTTTGATTGCCCACATTTAAATATAATTTGCTGTTCCTTGACTTCAGTCCAGCTTTCAAGCCATCATCCCGCAGCATCTGATAGGAAAACTGGGCTTCATCTGGGCTTCAATACACCCCTCTGCAATCTGCTGCTAGACTTCCTCACCAACAGACCTCAGTCAGTCTGGGTCGGACAGAACATCTCTGATGTCATCACCCTAAGCACAGGCTCCCCTCAGGGCTTCGTCCTGAGCCCCCTGCTGTTCACTTTGATGACACACGACTGGGCCCCCAGGTTCACCACCAGTCATATCATGTCAGAGAGAGGATCATCGGGGCTCCTCTTCCCTCCATTAATCCCGAGCCCGTAACATCATCAGTGACTTCACAGAGGCTTCACAGAATTCGATGCAGGTCCAGCAGATTTGGCAACAGCTTTTTCCCTGCTTTTCTCCATAAGACTATTGAAAAAACTCTAAATAATTCAGAAATCAAGACTCTGCATCAAACACTCAATCACATATGAAGTACTCTTTTTATATAAGTTTGTATCGAAGCAGGAACATGTTTTTTTTACACTGTCTCCATGAGCTCTGGGGAACAGATACTGGGCATATTGAGTTCTGGGGAGGGTCAGTAGCTCTGGGCAGGTAACACAGATGAAGCAGTGATTGGTACCAGGTACTGGGCATGATGTAACTTGTTTTTGTATCTGATCATTATGTAATTTTGTTTTTGGCTGTCCACGAGCCCTGGGTGGGTTCGGGGGATGCCGGTTCCATATTTTGGTTTCTGTAATCATGCGCTCCAGGCGTGAGAGGGAGCGGTCACTTTTCCTGATTGGGTGAAAGATTTTACTTTGAAGTGTGGCATAAATGGCGGGGGCTTGTTGACACCGGTGGGTTCTGCTAGGGTTGCGTACGGACGCCTAGCTGCGTGGGTTGCTGCCCTGCCGGGATTGACCGGCCCTCCGATCCTCGTGTCATGGTAGGGGGACAATATAAATTGTATTGAGACAAAATAATTTGTATTCAGCACCGTGCCTTGATTGATGTGCTTGCTTTGCTGTTTTCTGTGTCAGAATAAAACAACACATTTTAATTCTAGCAGAAACAGTTTGTGTGTTCATCTTTATTGCCGACTCATCCCGATCCTGCCTAAATTTCATAATACATTACCCTACATGGATAATCTTCAAAATAGAAGTAAACTCAGTGTTTTTACTCCATTTTGTACCATATCTATTTATTTATTTTGCACTTCTCTGAACCTTCCACATCAATGCCTTTTGCACCATCTGTCCTACACTTTTTACATTTTGATCACTGCTACACTTTATCAATGGAAATATTCACTTCACCGCTAAGCTGCTCATCCACTGTCGAAAAGGCTGTTTATATTGAAATTTCGCTTTGTATACACCCTGTGCATACAAAATGACAATAAAGTTTTTCTAAGTCAGAATTGTCCCAATAATTATTAAAGTTTCGCAAATCAGCTTTTGATCTTTAAACATTCTGAGTTACCCAAACCGTAACCTTGGGCTCTGAAAGTGCACAACATCAGACATTCAGAAATTAAACGAAATATTTTGAAACTTTATTAAACACTATTATTAACTATACCAATAAACTTGGCAAACATTAAGCTGTTTAGACGATCCCAATAGCCAGTTTTGAAAAGGTCAAAACTTTTTAAAAAGTAATTTTTTAAAAATTATTATTATTAAACTTTCTTTTTAAACATTTTTAATAAACATTCTGACAATAATAATCTAACAATCTCTTCCTTCTCCATCGGTTAGATTCACAGAAGTGGTATTGGTAAAAATCACCTCAACCATCACTGCAGCCACTCTTTCTTTAGCTATGACAGAACAACATGTGTTAGTTACGCACGCAGATTTCAGCACATGCTAACTATGCAACTTCATTTGTTTAACACTTTTGTAAAGCAGTAATGTTTCCTCTTAAAAGGCCAGAGGGGGAGAGACCATGTGCTCCTTTCCTTATTTCATTAGGAAACAATCCCTCAGGCTCACGTTTCTGATGGATGTGAACGCTACAGGTGAGTCTGTCTGTCTTCTGTGAACAGGAAATCCTTTGTTTAACATAAAGTGTTTGTGATTCCATGTATAGCCCCGGATACCCTCATACACACTGTTTCACATGGATACAGGGTGGACCTGGCTGGATCCAGCTACGTCAGCGCTTACATCTCAAGACGACTACTAATCAAAACTGCAGGAAGCTTACAGACAGTTGAAAGTCCCTGTAATTAGTCAAAATCTGACAGCAAAGTTGGGCATTATTCTGAAACCAAGTCAAATTATGTAAATAATAGACCAACCCGCTGATATCCTTCTTTACAGGCTATGTTTTTTAAATTGGAGTTATTAACCTTGTACTATTTCTGAAGCTATCAAATTATTGCAGTGATTAGCCTTCTTATTCTTAATCTGTTTCATAAAGGTCAAATTAATTTTGTTTATTATTAATGTTTTGTTATTCATGTTTTTTAAGGGCTATATAATAAAATGATGATGATGATTCACACACTTCAAACAATTAAACCATCTGAGAAGATTGCTGAAGCTGCAAAATTTGGGTTAAGAGCTTTCCAATGCATAATTGAAAACTAGAAAGCAGAAATGCAGCTGCATACCACTTAACCGTTAAAAAA